CATCTTATTATTGAGTTGTAAGAGTTCTTTATATATTTTATCCGAGCATTATTTGTTGAAAAGACTGCTTTCTTGAACTGTTTGAAATAATTTGTGAAGGATTAGTATTATTTTTTCCTTTAATTCTTGATATATTTCACCAGTAAAGCAACGTGGGCCTGGGCTTTTCTTCGTTGGAAAGATTTTAGCTAACAATTCAATTTCTTGATTTATGATAGGCTTATTCAGATTATAGCTTTCTTTTTAAATCAATTTTTTGATAATTTGTGTCTTTCTTGGAGCTTTTTCATTTCATCTATGTTGTCTTATTTGTTAGAATAAATGTGTTCATAATATTTTCTTATAATCCTGTTAACTTTTATTGAGTCTGTAGCGATTCCCTTTTATCTTCCTGATTCAGTAATTGGCTTTTTCTTTTTTATTTTCAGGTGGAGTCTAACTTAACACTTGTCAATTCTATTGATCTTTTCAAAGAACCAACTTTTGGTTTTATTGATTTTTCTGTGTGTGCGTGTATGTGTGCGCGCGCGTGCGTATGTGTGTGTGTATTTTCCATGTCATTGATTTCTGCTCTAATCTTTATTATATCCTTTCTTCTGCTTACTGTGGATTTCACTTGCTCTTCTTTTTCTAGTTACTTATGTTGAAAGCTTAGGTTATTGATTTGAGATCTTTCTTCTTGTCTAATACAGGCATTTAAAGCCATAACTCTTTCTCTAAGCATCGCTTTAGCAGCATATCTTGTACGTTTTCATGTGTTTTTTTTTTTCATTTCTTTTTAGTTCAAAATATTTTCTAATTTCTCTTATAATTTCTTCTTTGTATTATTTAGAAGCGTGTTGTTTTAAATTTCAAAACATTTGGGAATCTCCCAGATTTCTGTCATTAATTTATATTTAATTATTTTGCTTAGAGAACAAACTTTGTATGATTTCTTACAGACATAAAATTTTTAAGTTTATACAGATCTGTTTTATGGCCTAGCATCTGGTCTGTCCTGGAAGACGCTCCCAGTGCACTTGAAAGGTGTGGTAGGTGGTCATTGGGTAGAGTATTCCTATTCTGTGTGTCAGTTCAAATCGCTTGATCTTCTGTGCCCTTGATTATCTGCCTAGGTATTCTGTCAATCATTGAAAGTGGATCTTCAAATCTCCAGCTCTTATTCTAGAATCATCAATTTCAACTTTCAATTTTCTGGTTTTCTTCCTGCATGTTGAGGTCTGTTGTTAGGCCCCTATACATTTATAATTGTTGTTTCTTCCCGATGTGTTGTTCCTTCATCATTTGAAATTTCCTTCTTGGTCTCCAGTAATATTTCTTGCCTTAAATTATATCTCATCTGCTACTAATTTAGCTATCATCTCTCTTGTTGTTACTATTTGCACGGTATTTTTCCCTTCTTCTGGGTGTTCTCCATTCTCCACTGCACACGCACGTTGCCTCAGCTAGAAACACACTTGTCCCAACTGTGACCAAAAGCACAAGCCGTTTAGTATATACCTTCGGTCTTTCCAGAGTGCTAGAATAGGAATTTTTGTCCATCTTATTCAATTTTATAGTTGCTTTTTGGGGAGATGATTTGCTGAGCTCCTCACATGACCAGAGTCAAACATCTCTCCTTGGGACACGTGCGTGCACACTCACTGCCTGGGAGGTTCCACAAAGCAAAGATTCCTGCCTCTTTTCTTCACTGTTGCTTCTCAAACTCTTAGACCATTACCTGGTAGCCAGTAAACTCTCAATAAAATAAGTTTGCATCCTGGTATTAGTAACAGCGATTCTCTGGATCCTAAACTCAGCAGCAGTAACACCAGGAAGTCAGATTTCAAGACTGTTAGGACTGTAAACAGGATCTCCCAGAGGCAACCAAATTCGTATTTAACTCAAGTTTTTATGAAGATGATTGCAGATCCACACATGTCATAAGAGATAAAGCAGAGAGATCCTGGGTATGCTTTATCCATTTTCTCCCAACAGTCTCCTAAGAAATCAGATTTTCCATTTGTTGATTTCTCTCTCCCTCTCTTTTTTTTTTTTTTTTTTTTTTTTTGCTGTTTTTGATTTCATCAGTTTCTGCTTTGATCTTTATCATTTTGTTCCATCTGTCAGGTGTGAGTTTATTTTGCTCTTTTCCTGATTTCCTCAGGTGAGAGCTCAGATTGTTGATTTGAGGGCTTGCCTAATTTCTAATGTAAGCTTTTAATGCCATATATCTCCCCATCTTTTCTGTTTTTGATTTCATCAGTTTCTGCTTTGATCTTTATCATTTTGTTCCATCTGTCAGGTGTGAGTTTATTTTGCTCTTTTCCTGATTTCCTCAGGTGAGAGCTCAGATTGTTGATTTGAGGGCTTGCCTAATTTCTAATGTAAGCTTTTAATGCCATATATCTCCCCATCAGCACTGCTTTAGATGCATCCCACATGTTTTGTTATGCTTATTCTCAGTTGGGGTCAGTTCTCTGTATCTTTTTCAATTTTCTTTGAGATTTCCTCTTTGCTCCATGGATTATTTCTTAAAGTGTGTTATTTAGTTTCCACATGTTTGTCTGATTTCCATTGCTTTAAGTTTGTCAAGGTTTGTTTTAAAGCCCAAGATTTGGTCTAAGATAGACCATATCTTATGGAGAATGTTTTGTGGGGGGCTGAAAATACATGCTTTCTGCCATTGGTGGTCAGGATGTTAGACATGCATCAATTTTGTCCTGTCAATGGATTGTGGTGCTTAGGTCTTCAATACCTTTGCTAATTTCTGTCTAGGTCTATGGATTGCTGAGAGGGGGTAAAGAAGCTATCAGTGATGCTTGTGGATTTATCCATTTTTAATTTCAGCTTTTTCAGTTTTTGCTTTATGTACTTTGTGGTTCTGCTGTTTGGTGTATATACATTTAGGACCTCTGTCTTCCTGGTGGATTGATCCTCTTATCATTATCTGATGTCCTTCTTTGTCTCTAGTAAGTTTCTTTGCTCTGAAGTCTATTTTATTATGTATTAGTAAATATGTAATATTTACTTCTAATTTGTTTTGGTTTTGCTTATATGGTATAAATCTTTCCATCCTTTCATTTCAACCTACATAAGTCACTGTGTTTCAAGTGAGTTTCTTATACGTGGGTTGTATTTTTTTAAATCTACTCTGTCAACCTTTATCATTTGATTGTTATATTTAAACTATTCACATTGAGACAAACAGTATGTTAGCAATTAAGTCTGAGATCTTATTATCCACTTTCTGTTTATTTCTTATGGTTCTCATTCTTCTGTCTCTTTATGTTACTTGAAAATATTTTAGCATTCTAACTTTATTTTTCTATACTGCTTTTGAATGTATTTTTTTCATGGTGACTTTTTGCTTTGAACATTATAATATACATATGTGACTTATCACAGTCTACTGTTAACAAATTCCTATCACATTCAGTGAAGTGTAAAAACTTCACTTCTATTTATGTAACTTTCTGTTCCCCACTTTCAAATATCATAATGCTCTTCTTGAGTATCAGATACTTTGATAATTTTTGTTTCAATTATAAAATATTATTCTTAGATAATCTTTAAAAAAAATTTAAAGAATAGCCTACTTATGTACCCATATTTCTACTGTTCCTTCTTCCTAATGTACCAAGATTTTTTCTTCTATTTCAAGAATTTATTTTAGCCATTCTTTTTTTTTAAGTTTACTTATTTATTTTGAGAGAGAGAGAAAGAGCACCCATGCAGCTGGGAGGAAAGACAAGAGAGAGGGGGAGAGAGAGAGAGAGAGAGAGAGAATCCGAAGCAGGCTCTCCACTGTTAGCAAAGAGCCCAACACAAGGCTCAATCTCATTAACCATGAGATCACAACCTGAGCTGAAATCAAGAGTGTGACATTCAGCTGGCTGAGCCACCCAGGTACCCCTGGCCATTCTTTCAAAGGAGGCCTAACAGTGACAACTTCTTTCAGTTTCCCTTCATTTGAGAATGTCTTTATTTTCCCTTTATTCCCAAAGGATAGTTTTGCTGGATATAGAATTTGTAGTTGACAGTTCTCTTTCAATATTTGAAAATGTGCCACTTCAGGGCACCTAGGTGGCCCAGTTGGTTAAGCATCTGATTCTTGATTTTGGCTCAGGTCATGATCTCATGATTTGTGAGTCTGAGCCCCATGTTGGGCTCTGCACTTGCTTGAGATTCTCTCCCTCTCCTCTGTCTCTTCTTCTTCCTCTCAAAATAAATAAACTTTTAAAAGACAAAAAAAAAAAAGAAAAGAAAACATGCCACTTCTTTCTGCTTTCCCTAGAATCAGATGAAAGATGCATTGTCATTCAAATCTGTGTTCCCCTGTAGGTAATGCATGGTTTGTCTCTGATTCTTTTTAAGATTGTTTTCTTTGTCTTTGGCTCTCATAATTTTCTTCTTACCACCTTTCAGAGTCCTCCTTTGGTTGTCTCCAATATTATTTTCAGGGTTTGTGGTTGTGCTTAGCAGGGAGGAGCTGGGAGAAATTGACCTATGCCATTGTGTTCAGACCAGAAGTCTCAAATTCCTAAATGCTACGAGTTTGCAACATCTACTCTAACCATTATGTTTTCTGTGAGATGTGTTCCACCAGCTAGAAAGCTAGCATCTTAGCACATCTATGACTAATGGCCACATTCTGCAGTGGGGCATGGGGCAAGCTGCCATTGATGGAAGTGAAATGAGAGCATTTGTGGTCAGAAAACATCAAAGTGGCTGAGTCCAGCTGCTAGCTGCTTCCTAAATAGGGGACTTGGTCCCTCAGAAGCAGGTGCCAAACCACCTCCAGCCTGAGCCATATTTTCTCAGACCCTCCAGGGGTGGTAGCCAGAGCACAGAATCTAGAAACATGCAAGTGCATGAAGGACACACATTCATAGGCCAATCTGCAGACAAACATGCAGACCCCCTCAGTAAAAATACAAATTTAACCAATTTCTTGCTAATATCAATAGAAAGTAAAATATCAAGAGTTTCATTTGAAAAAAGAAGGAAAATATTCCTACCTGTTCTGAGGACATTTCACCAAATAATGTCTCACTGTAAAAAAAAATAAAAATAAAAATAGAAGATGGTAAATAAATGTTACTTTAGATATATATGCTCTGGGAATCACCAGGAAATCTAGGTGCCCAGATGTTGATACAAGCTACCTTTCGGGGCTTTCATACTTTTGTTTGGATGAGTACAGCAGGACTATAGTGTGGACATAGCAGAGACTTGATATCGTTCCACTCCTGGATTGAGCCAGGCATGAAGCCATACACCCCAGACCTCCTAGCTTGTTAACTCAAAATGTTCTTTTTTTTTTTTTTTTTTTTGGTCAAGCTAGATTAAGGTGGGTTCTAACCTGAAAGGTCCTAGAGTAACAGAGTCACCCAACTTCAAAGCCCTACCTTAGTCATGAGAAAGCCTTTAGGGGCAACCTGTTTCCACTTAGGTTGCTCCTCTCTGTAAAATGGGTTTTCATTCTCTGATCAGTGCTCTTCCAGGACTAAGCGAGGGGCCTTGGGAAAACAGTCTTAGAGTAAGGCATCCTCCACAGTAGGTCTCATTGAGAAAAAACAAATTTTAGCTGCAGAGGAAATATGAGAATACTTAAGCAGTTATCCTAATTAAGTGTCCAATCTATGCTCACAAATGAGTTCATCTCAAACAGAACTAAAGCTGTAGGCCCTTGAGTTGGGTGGTGGATCATTACACCAATGGCTCCCATGAGTCCCACCTCCCTGCATCTAACTACACCCCTGTGACCCTGGACTTGTCCACAAGATATGCTTTGGCCAATGAAACAATAAACAATATGTCACAAGCAAAGGCATAAAAGGCCCTTGTGCCCTGAGGTCTGTTCACTTGCTCTCTCTCATTGTAGGGAACTCTTCTGCTACTACAGATAGGAGCCTGGCTGGCCTACTAAAAGATGAGACCACATGGAACAGACACAAGTCATCCCAACGGACGCCCCAAAGCAGCCAGGCCCCAGCTCATCCACCAGCAGCCCACAGCGTCAAGAGCAACTCTACCTAAGACCAGAAGAACTCCTCACCTAAGCCCAGACAAAACTGCTGACCTATGGAATTGTGAGCAAATGAAATCATTGCTGCTCTAAGCTACGGCACTTTGGAGTGATCTGTCCTGCAGATGACCAGGGCAGGTTCCAGGCCAGCATGACTGAATCTTAGCCTTAGAGAGGGCTTTTTAGGTTTACCTGTTCCAACCCCTCATTAGTACACAAAGTCCTTCTGCATTCTGTTTACTGAGCACTTACTCTGCGTTGGATAATTTCCAGATGCAGCAATAATACAACCATAGTTAGTATTTACTGAACAATTCATATATTCCTGGAATTACTCTAGACATATTAAATAGATCAGGGACCATTAGTCTGGGGTCTGTGCACCACCGGACACTCCTAGGAGGGGCAGTTTTAAGGAAATCAATTTCTAGATCCTCACCTAGCATGGTATTCTTTCCTCAGAATTCATTCTCCTGAAACACGCCTGAGCTCTGGTTGTATTCCTTTCCCTCCCTCCTCATCACGTCATCCTTTCTCTGCACAAAACTGAACGCACAACTCTCACCCATCCTGAGGTGCACTATGGAGATCTGTCCTCAGGGTAAATCAGAGCCACCAAACAAGAAATGACTTGAAATCTTGGTGCCAGTGTGGAGAAAGTGAATGACTAATGGCTGGGCAGCTAAACCTTTCACCAGCAGAGAGGTTTCCAATATTTTGCTTTCAACAAGGATTAAATAATAACCTAATCCAGGTGTCAGCTGGTAGAGTATTAAAAATCATTTTCAATGATAGATCGCTATATGACTTTTGACATGTATCTCCAAAACCTTTCAAAGTACTGAGCAGTAAAAGAAAACTTCACCCATTCCTGTCTCTTTTTATACTGAATGTATTTCAGGGCGAACATCTATGGAAAAAGCAGGAATTCTATTACTGAGCAAATTCATACAAGGGTATATGAAGTAAAATAAAACTCTATTTCAATAAAAATACATTTTCAATGAAATGTTCTTCTTATGATTATTATCAAAATTGATCATATCTTTATGGAGTTTTGATTAACTTTATACTCATTTTCCAAATCCAAATTAATTATGCAATATTGATAACTCAATATAGAAAAAATTAATACCTAGAAACTTATGGGATAAGATAATTTTAAAATTCTTAATTTAAATTTTATACACATTATTCTTATAGGGAATTATAAATAAAAACAACTGTAATAAAAGGAATAAAATTTTGTGGGGGAAACAGAGTGAGACAGAAGTTCAAGGCGAAAAAGGAACAATATACAATTTCTAACAGTTTATTTGTTTAAGCTTATTTATTTATTTTGAGAGGGACAGAAAAGCATGAGTGGGATAGTGGCAGAGAAAGAGGGAGAATCCCAAGCTGGCTCTGTGTTGCTAATGCAGAGCCCGGTGCAGGGCTTGAACTCACGAAACTGTGAGATCATGACCTGAGTTGAAACCAAGAGTTGGACACTTAGCCAACTGAGTCACTCAGGTGCCCCTCTAACAGTTTCTAAAGCATGTTCACAATGTCTTTTTACATCAATAGAGGGAGTTATTAAATGTGTGACATTTAGTTGTGAAAGATATTTAACCATTTCATTTGAAGACGACACTCTCTGTGATGCCCTGGAAATTTTCTCTTTTACAACTAATTTACATTTATGATGAAAACGTTTAGAAGTCACAGTTTTGGGGGGTGCCTGGGTGGCTCAGTTGGTTAACCATCTGACTTCAGCTTTAATCTTCACAATAACTTTGTCAGTACACCTATTTTATGCTGAAGGGCACTGAGGCACAGAAAGGTTAATGATCTGCTCAAGGTCACACAGCTAGGATTATGGGCTGATCTGCGTCCCTCCTATGTTGAAGCCCTAAAACCCAGCACCTTAGAATGTGACAGCATTTGGAGACAGGGCCTTTAAAGAGGTGATTAGGTGGGGTAAGCCCTAATCCAACATGACTGATGATGTCCTTTTAAGAAGAAGTTAGGAAACAGAGAGCAACAGAGGAAAGACCACACACGTGAAGACCTGGGAGAAGACAGCCACCTGTAAGCTTTGTTACGGCAGCCCAAGCAGGCTAACACATCTCGGAAGGGGCAAACTGGGCAGCCTGACTCGAGTCCTCTCCTGACCACTCCACATCAGAGAAACTGGGCAGCTGGTATTAGAGTGCCTCAGAAAGTGAGTCTCGGCATAAATGGCTGACCCGCCATGGCACCTCTGGAGCAGGGCAGAGCTGAGCTGGATCCCTAGGGAGTCCACACACTGACTTCTATTTTGGGAAGTCCAGTCCAGGGGCACTGAGGTGAGCAGCCTGGGGTTCAGGAGGCCAAGGAGCAAGCAGACAGCCCAAAGGGACCATAATAGTTGGCCATGGGGAGGGAACTGACTCAGAAAGGCAAGGAGCCCAGTGAAGATGGCCCGTGCCAGGCATGGACAATGCATCTCAGCCCCCACTTGGCAACTGATGCTGATGAGGTCTCAGACCAGTAAATACAGGGCTGACAGCCCATTAATGAAGCGGGACTGCCCAGGAGGCCAAAAGCAGTCCTGGACCTGAAAAGGGAAACTTAGGGACATCTGAGTAATAGGCCTTTCCCAGAGGCACCTTCAGATATATATAACATAATCAGTGCTGAGTACATAGCAAGGGCCACCCCAGAAGGAGAGGCTGTAACATAAGCATTTAAGGACAAGGAGTCTATGCGTGAAGTGACCCCAGCAAAGCCTCATCCTATATGGTAGTCATGGTCCCAGATATCCATCTAGCACTCAGAATGTGTCTGGTCCAAAAGGAGATGTGCTGAAGTGGGAAATCATGCTGCATTTCAGCCTTAGCATGCAGAATGGAGCGTAAAACATCTCAGTCAAAATCTTTATATTGATACTTGTTGAAATGCTATTTTAGATATATTAGGTTAAATTAAAATATATATAATATATATAAATAAATATACATAGAAATATAAAGTAAAAAATATATGTAGTTTTTCACCTATTTACTTTTCCTGGGAGGACTAAAAAAAATGTCCAAGTACGTATGTGGCCTGCATTGTATTTCTCTGTGGGACAGTGCGCAGAGGGGCTCTGCTTGCCCTGGCCCCCAGGATGGCTCGTCCCATGGTCACCATGATTAGGACAGAGGATGTGGTTTAGAAAGGGTAGCTGCACCCAGGAGAAGGTGCTCCCTGGAACTGTCCAGGCCGAGGACTGGCGGCCACACCGCACTGGGAAAAGCATCCCCAGCAGCCTCAAGAGTAAGAGAAACTCTTTTTTTTTTTTTTTTTTTTAATATTTTATTTCTTTTTGAGAGAGAGAGAGAGACAGCATGAGCAGGGGAGGGTCAGAGGGAGAGGGAGACACAGAATCTGAAGCAGGCTCTAGGTTCTGAGTTAGTTGTCAGCACAGAGCCCGATGCGGGGCTCGAACCCACAAACCGTGAGATCATGACCTGAGCTGAAGTCGGACGCTTAACTGACTGAGCTACCCAGGCGCCCCAAGAGTAAGAGAAACTCTTATCCCCATTTTAGAGTGAGGACAGTTGGGGACTCAGGACATTTACTTGGGGCCTGAGAAGGCCCAGTCTGTAAGTAAAGCAGCTTGAATCCAGGCTCTGGGTCCCATGCTCTCTGCACTAGGCTCCCGGGGGAGGCTTATGAGCACCCACATGGGGAGGATGGGCCCTCTTTCCCAAGGCATCAGTGGGCCTAAGACAGCCAGCTGAGCATCCCCCCACGCTCTGAAGCCCAAGTCTGTGTCTCAGAAGTGTTTGGAGAGGGGAGCTAATGGCAGGGGTTGTCCAAGTGTCTGTGATGCCAGGCAGGGGAGCCCTTCAACTTCCCCCAGGCCCCAGGGTCACCTCTTTGCTCACCCACAGCCACCCCACTTTGTGCTTTGAGGCTCCTTCCCAAACTGAGCATGGCTATGGCTGGGATGCACTCACACCTCGCTCTTCCCTGTAGCTCTGGAAGGAGAGGTCGCAGGCTCTTCCATCCCATCGCCGTGGGGAAGCAGTGGAAAACAAGCTTGCAGCAGGGGAGCATGGGAATCTGGCAAGCTCCAGGAGGCTCTGCTCCCGTGCTAGGGTCCCAGTGTTTCAAGTACAAGCTAGACAGAGATATCACAAAGAGCAGAGACAACGAGGTTCATCCCCCTCCCATCTGGTTCTAGAGACCCTTCAAAACCATCCTTTTAAGGGGCACCTGGGTGGTTGAGTCAGTTAAGCATCTGACTTCAGCTCAGGTCATAATCTCACAGTTTATAACTTTGAGCCCTGCATCGGGACCTCTGCTATCACTGCAAAGCTTGCTTCAGATCCTGGTCCTGGGCCATCTGGATTGGTGCTTTCCAGGGAGAGTCAGAGCTGCACTAATGAAGAGCCAGGACGAAGATGCACAGCTTGGGAGGGAAGTGGAAAGCAAGTAAGTTAAGCTGGCAGTTAAGTCCAGCTCATGTGAATAGGGGGCACCCCAGGAAAATGAAGCAGTGAGAGGCTGGGGTAGAAGGGGGTGGAAGGCAGGGCAGCAAGAAGGCTGAGAGAGAAGGACACTGGCCCTCTGCCACCACCCCACACCCCCGGCTTCCAAGATGGGCTCTATTTATTTCAGGGATCTCATCAGGAATGGGGACAGCTACTCTGATACCCTCTTTTCAGACCGATCTTGCTGAAGGAGCGGGAGAGCAGGTGCTGGGCTCACTTCTGCTTTTCAACGTGTATGTGAGCAGCCTCCAAACCTGGACATCATGTGCTTCTCATCCAGGCATGAGAGCTTAGCTTTCCTCCACGTGGCCAGGACACAGAAGGCCCAACACACACACGGTTGCATAGAAGACCCAGGCCATGTCTATATAACAAGGGAGTCTGAGCTCGACTTTATTTTTGTGGGTACAGCAACCATATCTCATCTATGAATTTCATTTCCAGAGAGTAATGAGATCCCTTTGAAACACTTGTTATAGAAGAGAGGGACAGAGTAGGACAGAGTTAAGAGGAACTGGCTCTAAGGCCTCACTACTCAAAGTGTAGCCTCAGGCCAGCAGCCACGACCCCATCCGGGATCTCATTAGAGGTACTGAATCAGAAGCTTCATTTATGCAGGTTTCCCAGGGAACAGTCTGCTCCTTAAGGTTTGGGCAGTGCTGTTCTAAGGCTCTAGAGTCCAGGTGAGGGGTAACACTGGGCTCACCATGGTCCTGTGTCTTCAGTGTGGCGGGGAGGTGCCTGGCTCCTAGGGCTACACGAGGCACGAGCTGCCTGCCAGGGCTCCAGAAGGAAGGCCGGCCTGCTGGAACAAAGCCAAGCTCCCGAGTTGCTGCGGGAGCTATGTTGCTGTTTAGAAAGGACCTTAGCAACAACCGCCATGGAAGGCTGAAGGAAAATTCCTTGGCAAGGTTGGCCCCCAGATGGCAAAGGTTTTCTTGAACAGAAGTGTGGAAGCCTCGGGATCAGGCTGGACCTGAGCTGTCAGGACTTCATCGGGCTCCTCAGCTGTGTTCTCTCTCAGATGGGAGCAATAGGGACGGTCATTCCAGACAGACGGTGAGGATGACACAAGAAACGTGGAGGAGCCTGTGAGCAACGGTCTGGCCGCAGCAGATGCCCAGGCAAAGCTCTCAGCAGCTCAGTGGGGTTTTCAGACACTGTGCACAGGCACACACAAGGCTGTCCGTGCCTGCTTCAGGGGGGACAAGGGCAGTTGGGATCTGGGTCCCCAGCGGCTCTGAGCGAGGCCCAGAGTATTTGTCTCAGCCTGCCTTGTTGGCCCTGGAGGGGAAGGATGTCTCCTGAGTCAACTCCCGTGCTCTGTTTCCCTGATTCTGCCTAAGGCCTAACATACCCGCAGCTCAAGGCACACTTCGCTGTCATGCTCCTGAACCCGGCAGAGGTGTCCTTGGAGCGAAACAGGCTTGGAGACTGCCCAGGGGGGCTTCCAAACCCCAACAGGTGGGGGCAAAGCAGCTGGGAGACAGTCACATGTGTTCCCCATTTGTTGAGCAGCTGTCACAGTCAAATTCCAGGGAGGAAGGATCAGATGAATGGCCCGCGCCCACCACTGTCTGGAAGGGAGGCGAGCGCATCTGTATGCATGCAACTCGTGCAGCGAGCCCTTGAACGTGGCCAAGGGCTCGGAACAGGGGGAAAGCCCAGGGGCTGTCGACAAGGCAGGCGGATGCCAAGGACAAAGGTGGCTCTCAGGCTCTGCACAGAGACCACAATGGAGCACAGCGGGAATGGCACAGGCTGTGGAAGAGAGAGAGGTGGCCACAGGCCTTGCTCTCTCTCTAGTGCCAAGTGTGCTAAATATCTCTGTGCACCTCTCCAGATCTCTGTCCGGGTGGGGGGGGGGGGGGGAGGAGCTGACCTCTGGGCCCTGCCCTCTGGCTTCTGGTCGGTGAGACCAAAGCAAAGCAGCAATGGTGGGGGGACGTCTAGAGGAAGAGGGAGAGGGAAAGGCTGAGGAACCTACATTCCTGGCTCCCTCCCTGCTGCCTCCTGGTTTGGCATTGCCTGGGTCCCTCTTCTGCAGCTTCTGTTGGTGACACTCTCCCACAGCTGCAGCTCTAGAAAGTTCTGGACTGCTCTCCCCTTGTCTCCTAACTCTGTGCTACCATCAGCTTCCTGTGGGCTGCTCCCTGGATGTGTCCCTTCCCTTCCTCCCTCCCTGGTCCCCTTAGTTCTGCCTGCACCTTGGCCTCAGCAGAGAGGACCTCTAGAAGCACAGCTCAGTATCCCTGCTTGAGTGTCCCCTTAGACCGTGGCCACCAAATCTGACACTTCCCAGCTTTGTAACCTTGCGCTCATGTGCAAGGCATCATACACACAGGACACTTACAAGAGTCAGAATGTGTGTTGAAGTTTTTGTTGTGGTTGTTGTCGAACTTAATCCTCACAATAATCCTAACAGCCTGGCACCCTGCTGCATTCCCATTACTTAGATGGGAGAGGTGAGGCAGAGCAAGTAAGTCATCAGCTGGTAAGTGAAGAGTAGCCATCTGAACCAGAGCCAGCCTAATTCCAGAGCCCAGCAGTCCCCCACATCATCTCTGGGAGCTACAATGTCCGCACCTGTTTTGGGAAGCCGGAAGGGGGTGCAGCAGGGAGGGTGTGTCAGAGGAAATGTACAGGCTCTGGTGGAAATGCGACATTGAGGCTTGGTGAGAGGTGGGGACTGAAGCGGGAACACAGGCAGCCTTCATAAAAAGAGAGAAATCAGAATTCCAAGAACTATAATTATTAAGAGAGAAAATGCAAAGCAAGAAGAGGTTGAGGACAGATTCGGTGCAACGGGCATGCCAACAGGAAAGGGGATGGAAGAAAGTGAACTCTTGGGCTGGAAAGAGCCTTCCTAATGCCACCTGCCTGCCAGGCACAGTGCCAGTACTGTCTTTTGGGATAAATAATGAACACTCACAACAAGGTGCTAACCGAGGAAGGCAGTGTCCACCCCACTTCATTTCATAGCTGAGGACACTGAAGGTCAGGGGACTTCAGGAATACCTCTAAAAATCAGTCTTCTGTGGCAAAGCCAGAATCAAATCCAGGTTCATCTGACTCGATAGCCCCTTCTGGGAGAATGAGAGGGGTAAGGGCCACCCCCTCAGCAACTGTGCAAGGAAGGGAATTGAGAAAAAGAGGAATTTAAATGTGGTCAATTTAAAAGTTGATCTTAGCAGAGACTCAGGGAGACACATCTCTTCACTCTCTGTACTCACCAGTCACAGGTAAATAATCCCTGACTCACGGTACATTTTTCAAACAAGGTTATACTTTGCCCCGCGTCTTCCGCCTGTCTGTGGTTTGCTTGTGCTCCCGTTCCAGACATGACCTTATCTATCTGCTTACCTCTAGATTTCCTCTTGCTAAACACAGACTGCCAGATGATGGTCAGGGTGAAGAGTAGGACACTGAGAATCCCCACGCAGCACACAAGCACAGCGTAGATGTAGACATCTGAGGGCAAGGACACAGCGGATCATTGTCAGGATACGCAACGTCAAAGGAGATGTACCATGTGAGATAAACTTCATACATTACCAAAACCCAACTCAAAATGTACCACAAGCCTAAACAGAAAGTGAGAACTAGAAAACTTTGAGGAAGAACACAGAGGAGAAAAATCTTTTTTTTTCTTTTTTTTTTTTGTTTGTTTATGCTTACTTTTTTTTTTTACAAATAGTTTATTGTCAAATTAGTTTCCACATAACACTCAGTGCTCATCCCCACAAGTGCCCCTCCTCCATGCCCATCCCTCCTCCCCCCACATCCATCAGTCCTCAGTTTTTGTCAGCATTCAAGAGTCTCTCATGGTTTGCCCAGAGGAGAAAAATCTTTGGGATCTAGGACTAAGCAGAGAATTTTTAGACTTGACATTGAAAACACAATCTATATAAGGAAAATATGATCAATTCGGTTTCATCAAAATTTAAAACTTTTGTTCTGTAAACACCCGTATGCAGAGGATGGAAAGGCAAGCTACAGAGGACTGGGAGGAAATATTTGCAAACTATATACTCAACAGAGGACTAGTATGTAGATGGTAAAGAACTCTCAGAACACAATAATAAAAAGTAAACAAACAATCCTACTAGAAAATGAGCAGAAATGTATGGAGACATTTCACCAAAGAGAATATCTGGTGGCAAGCAAGTTCATGAGAAGATGTTCAACTTCCTCAGCCATTAGAGAAATGCAAATTTAAACCACAGTGAGCTATCTCACCCATCTATCAGAACGACGAAAATAAAAAAAAGTGACAATACCAAATGCTAGCAAGAATCTGAATAAACTGGGTCACTCAACAGTATTGCTGGTGAGAACGGAAAATGGTACAGCCACTCTGGAAAATAGTTTGGCAGTTTCTTAAAAGACACATCTACAAATACCCTTCAACTCAGCAACTGTGCTCTGGGACATTTTTTCCAGAGAAATGAAAACTTAAGTTCACACAAGAACCTGCACATGTATGTTTATAGCAGCTTTATTTACAATAGCCCCAAACTGGAAACTGGCAAAACTAGAAACTTTCCAGATGTCCCTCAGCTGGTGAATGGTTCAACAAACTGTGGTCCATCCACACCATGAGCTATTACTCAGTGATACAAAGTAACAAACTATTGACACATGTAGCTATCTCAAACCTCCAAAGAATTATGCTGAGTGAGGGGGGGGAAATCCCAAATGTTACATACGGTATGATTTTATTTATACAATGTTCTCGAAATGACAAAGTTATAGAAATGGAGAACAGATTAGTGATTATTAGAGGTTAAGGAGGGAGTAGTTGATGGGAGGCTATAAAGTCGATGGGAGGTGATGAGTTTGGCTATAAGGAACCCTTGCAGAGATGGGAGTGTTCTGTACCTTGACTGTATCAATGTCAATATCCTGGTCGCCATATTGTACTGTAGTTTTGCAAGATGTTACAATCGGGAGAAATTGGGCTAAGAGTACAAACTGATACAAGGGCTCTCTATTACTTCTTAGATATACATGTTAACCTGCAATTACCTCAAGATAATTTTTTAAAGTAAAACCATGATCATATAGGTCTCAGCCAATCTGGGCTGCTATAACAAAATACAATAGACTGAGTGACTTAAACAATAAACATTTACTTCTCAAAAAAGCAAAGCACTGGCAGAATAGGTATCTGGTAAGTTTGGAGATGTTTCCTCTTAATATTCTCACATGGCAGAGAACAAAGAGAGAGCAAGCAGGCTCTTCCAGGGTCTCTTCCTATAAGGGCACTAATCCCATTCATGAGGGCTCCACTCTCATGATGTAATCACTTCCCACAGGCCCCCACCTCCTAATACCATCGTATTAGGGGCTAGGATTTCAACACATGAATTTGGGGGAACACCAATATTGAGCCCATAACAACGTATAACCATTTCATAAACTTCAGTGATCAACTTTAATACCAATCTGATTGAGAAAATGCCAACTGCTCAGAAAGTAAAAGGTGGGGGTGGGGAGTACCTGGGTAGTTCAGTTGGTTAAGCATCCGACTCTTGACTTTGGTTCAGGTCATGGTCTCATGGTTGTGGGTTCAAGCCCCACATCAGGCTCTGTGCTAACAGTGCATAGCCTGCTTGGGATTCTCTTTCCCCCATCTCTCAGCCCCTCCCACACTTGTGATGTCTCTCTCTCTCTGTCTCTTTTTCTAACTCTCTCAAAATAAATTAACTAAAAAAAATTTTAAAAATAGAAAGTGAAAGGGAATCTGAAAGCATTACTTTAACCTTCAATGTAGCAAAAAGCTACAGATGTTTGAACTTAGCAAAAATATTTCTCTGCTGACCTAAGTTTCTTTAGCTAATAGACATTTATTATGAGCCACTTTCAGCACTCTCATAAGAATAAGAAATAGAACAATGGAGATTTACAAGCCTCATCAGGAAACCAGAGAGCTGCATGGTATTTGCAGCAAAAAGAGTGTGTGCTCAGTACTCAAAACACACAAAGAACTCAGCCAACTTGAGGAGGTCCCAAGGAGCTTCAAAGAGAACTGGAGCCCTGTGCTGAGTCCTATTTAAAATAACACAGAAGGGGCACCTGGGTGGCTCAGTCACTTAAGCGCCTGATTTAGTTTTGGCTCAGGTCATAATCTCATGGATTGTGAGATTGAGCCCCATGTCAGGCTCTGTGCTGACAGTGCAGAGCCTGCTTGGGATTCTCTCTCTCCCTCTCTCTCTCTCTGCCCCTCCCCAACTTGTGGTCTTTCTCTCTCTCTCTTTGTGTCTTCCTCTCTCTCTGTCTCTCTGTCTCTCTCTCTCAAAATAAATAAACATTAAAAATAAATAAACAAAATAACATAGGAAATGCAAAAATATATAGAAAGAATAAAAATGTAGAGAGAGAGAGTAAAAGAAAGTTATCATATCAATGTAAGTGGCTTAACATTACCTTATCATTGGCTACTCAAAGTGTTTCTAACTATTGCCTTTCACAAGTGACTGTGATGGGCATTCACAAACCAAAACCCTAATGCACCTCTCATATTGGGTTTTTAAGATTAAGTTCCTAGAAGTGGAATTGCTGAGTCAACAGGAATGCACTTCTGTAAAGCCCCTGGGACCTAGAGAAGTAGTTAGGTAAGCGCCCCAGCTGAGGGGCGGCGGGGAGCTGGCCTCCACAGTGAGCTGGAGAGAGGAGGAAGGAGAATGGGATGGAATCAGGCATCTCAGGTCCCTTTCGGCTCTGTCCTTCCTGGCCCACACCCCAAGAGGTCTCGTGTGGTCTCTCTCAGAGTCCGGGAGCTTCTCCTGTGGTCTTGGGCTCAGTCATCACTTTTGTCCAAACTCGCTTGAGTAGGATTCTGTTCATGGCAACTTAGGAGCCTGGACCAGAAGTACAGTAAGTAGAAAGCATGGTAGGACCAGCACGGAAGCAGAGGATGATAGGCGTGGGGGTTCTAGAGGCCAAGAGGGGAGATGTTGTAAGAAAGATTCTTTAATAGCGTCAAGTGCTGCTAGAAAACATCCACTGGGTTTTTCTAGAAGGAAGCTACTGGAAAAGTCTTGGGGGAACGCCAATTCAGCAGGATGGTAGAGCCTGAGCCAGATCACAGGCATCGACGAGTTCAATGGTTTGTGAGGAGTTTGGGCCAGAAACAGAGGAAACCCGCTCCTACAACTAGAGTCAAAACTGTCTTTCTGTAGACACCTGTGTCTCAGATGTGTGGGCTTTGTGGGTTCAAATGGTAGAGACCTCGGTGAATGGTGGGAATTAGGGGCTTGGGTCTCCCTTTAAACAATGAGCTGGAGCAGAGGTCACAGATCAGGATTCACGACAGGCCACAGGATGGGCCAGAACAAAGAGAACATATGGCCAGTCCTGGATTTACATGCAGTTGAGTAAGCTCCTCGGGGATTCTGCTGCGTAGCCATTTCTGGCACGAGAGGGTAGCCAATGATGTGTCCCCATTGCCAGGCATGCAGACACTGGGCAGGTGGACAGAGCATCTGCCTTAAGGGCATTTCCAAAGATGTAGACCCCTGGACCACAGAGGCGAGTGCAATGGGGCCTCAGTCTCATTCTTGGCTGGAGAGACCACCTGTCTTCCTGAAGTTTCTGCACCACTGAAGCAGAACAGCGTCCTCCATGAGCTCCCGCTTTCTTGCAACTCTTTCCCTGGTGTTGAAACTGCAGGAATCAAACAGGTTCAAGGTCGTGGGGAGAATCTGCCCCAAGCGTCCCCAGAAGCATATCGTAGACATCTGTGGTCTGATCTGTCCCCCGGCAGGAGGCGAGGGGCTCCAAGATGTCCACGCTCTGGTTTCAGATCACAACCTCCACTCCGTGGCTTGAAGGGGGCTCTTTGCAGGCAGCCGTAGCTGCAGAATCATAAAACATCTGGCCAGTCCGGAAGGCTCGGCTACACTGCCACCCACACGGGCCCTCCGGGCTGCAGACACTGGCGATCATGCATCAGCCACCTGTGTGTGGGTCCCCACGGGTCGAGGATCCATCGTGCCTGCTCTCTGTTGTGTTCTTGAAGCTACAGGGACCTTAAAAAGTGTCACCTTGCAGGAGAAGGAAAGCTCAAAAAGAACACCTGCCTTTCCCTGGATCAGGCAGCCACCAGTACTCCAAAGTTCTCATTTATCCCCTCTGTTCCAAGCATATTCCTTTTGCTGCAAAAAGATAATCACCCTGTTTTATCTGCTCAAAACACTGAAACCATTTCCCCATGATTTTCTCTACAAACAAAGGTAAGACCCCAAGCCATTTAAGAAGGGGTCACAAAATACCTGGATCCAGCATCACCTTTCTGCCTGGATGAGCCAGAGCAAAGCTGTGCCCTGCCCGATGGAGGCAGCAGTACCAATGCTTCAAGCAGCCATCCTGGGGCTGGAATGCCCGGCCAGTGCTGCTGTATCTTATGACTTTCCCTCGACTTTTATGTATATACTCCTCTAATTATAAACGTTGGCCCAAAGGTTTTAAAACTCCGACTGGGCCAAACAACGCTTATCTGGGGGCTGAATCCAAGCGTTCAGATCCAAATTCAACAGAACATCTGCACCTAACCAAATCTGGGCTTAGCTTTTAAAACACCACAGATTACCTGCCCACTCAGAATAAATCTAAACACCGTGTTAGTTTCGTCACATCCGTCTGCAATTTTGTCTTTTGCCGCTGGGCTTCCCAAAGGCATCGATGTCACTTTTAGACGCCCCTGCAAACCACCATGCAGAAAATGTGTCCCCGCCATCCCCGGTCCAGGCCTCCCTGAAGCAGATGGCGGAGCCGGCAGGCTGGAGTGACGCTCTCGCGGCAGGGAGGCCGAGACGGGGTGCACAGCATGCTTGTGCCGGCTCCTGCCCTCCCAGAAAACCAAGCCACCACAGGCCAGGCTAGGCAGAGAGGCCCCAGTGAAAGGCAGGCTGCACCTGTTGCCAGGCAACCCTGAGGCCTGCAGGGGTGTTCAGCGCTGCTTGGAGCCCGGTGACCCCAGCATTCCTCAGCACAGCGAAGGGACCACCTCTTGCCGGACCGCTGACTCCAGAAAGGCGATGTCAGTCCTCCACTCTCCCCAGCAAAATGCGAATGCCAGGATCTCAAGTCTATGCAGCAAACTGGATGCTCCTACTATTTTTAATCCAGTTTGTAATATCATCTTGCTTGGCGAGAAACACCTGAGCAATGGCCCTGAGGGATTTTTAACTCACTCCAGCATCTCACCAAGAGGCCTCACAATACTGGTTCTGTGCTGCGGGCACGCGGCCAGCTGAGCCAAGGCCCCTGGAGGATGGACGTCCGTCCGCACTCTCTGCAGCAGCTCTTCCATCCAGAACAAAAGGGCAAAGGCCTGGGATCAGGCGCCAGGGAGTTTCATGCACACCCCTGACCTCGCCAGTGCTGTGGCGGGGTTAAAAAAGCAAAATGCAAAGCCGCTGCTGCCGGAATCACAGGCAAAGAACACTGGAAACAGCTGGTCAGAGGCACTCTTCATAGTGAGGATTCCAATTCCGCTTTTCTGAAGGGACCTAATTCTCTGGGTTGACAAGTAAGCCCACGTCGGGTTCCAGATTTTGTGTCGAGTTAGGTTGAGAGTGACCCTGATTTCTAGAGCTACATGTGAATTATAAAATACTAGTTACACAAAGTATTTTAGATGCACTGATTATGCTGCAAGGCATGTTGGGACCAAATGCTGTAACCTTTCCAAATCTATCGTTTTGTTTTATGTGCCACGGGTATTCCCTAAATATGGTTCTCAGACCACTTGTACTAGGGAAACACCCTGGGCCCCAATAAAGTACAAATGTTTTGCTCATTTCCTAAGTGCAATAATGGGATTCTCGGTGGGGAGCCCAGAATCGGGGTTACTAACACCCCCTCCCCAGGAGATCTTTATGTATCTGATGACAAACAGGGCTCCCATTGTCACATCTGCCAGTGACCTACCCTAGGGATGCCCTGGGTGTCTCCAGACTTCTCCCTCATCGTAGGGCCCAGGGCCCGGGTCATGGGGCAGTTCCCAGGGACATGGGGTAAAACAGTTGTTTTCTCTATGGCTTTGCTCTGTGTGGAGTAAGTCGCTTTCATCTCTTTGCTAACAAATGGGCATTCCCTGAATGAAAGGCCGAGGGAGAGAGTTGGGGATTGTTTTGCTAGGAGAGGGTCATTAAATAAAAACACAGCTACAAAGCCTGCCTAAGAAAAGGCAGGGAATACAGAGAATCACTGTTGGAGATCACAGGATCTGAGAAAGAAAATATTTCAATTTTAATGGCCTACCTGGGTGACACCTTCTGGTTTGCAAATAATAATCACTATTACGATTACATTTTTCTAAGAGAGCAAGTGCTTAACTGGCTATTGGAAGAGGTGGGTTTAGATCCTAGTGTCTGCCCACTCATTGGGCAAGATCTCCTTCCATCACATCTGTTAGTTAACTAAAGGAGATGGGAGGCCCCCAAGGCACACACATGTCCCTAGGTCTGCTTGACAAGGTGATTTATCATCAGTAAATGCCATGCCTTCACAAAATAGTCATCTCTCACCATTTCCTGATCACCTTCTGACATTAACCAATTTTTCACTGACCAAAGGCTCTGCCTAAAAACTCACCAAGTACCTGCTTCCGCTGCTTTTGGCCATAATCCCCACCTGTTTTGTGATGATAATTTCTGTGAAGCTTCCTAACCCCAAGTAAGACAAGGTTTCTCAGCCTCAGCATTCTTGACATTTGGGGCCAGATAATTCCTTGTTTTGGGGAGCTGACCTATGCCTTGTTACTGTGTTTAGCAGCCTCCCTGTTCTCTCCCCAACAGATGCCAGTGGCACCAAAATGCTAGTTGTGGCAACCAAAAATGTATCCCGGCATTGGCAAATAGGCCCTGGAGGGGCAAAACCACCTCCTGCTAGGAAACACCGCTCCCAGGCTCAAACCTGAGAGCATCGGAGTCACCCAGACGACTTGTGAAAACCTCGATCCCTGGGCACCACCCCTAATGTTTCCGATCCTGTAAGCGAGAGTAAAGCCCCACAGTGCACATTTGTATCAGGCTCCCCGGTGATGCTGATGCTGATGCTGCTGGTCTGGGACGCTGGGATCACCTGGAGAGCTTTTAACAAGTTCCAGCTCAAACAGAATCTCTAGAGATGGCGGTTCAGGCATCAGTGCTTTTCAGGCTCCCCAGCGGGTTCTAACATGGGTTGAAAATCACTTGCTTACGGTTCTCAGACTTTCCAGAATCCCCAACCATGTATGAAACCCGAGGTCAAACTCTGTCACAGTAGGTGTCCATTTCATTTTTACATTACTTGAAGAGCCCTCCCTAAAATCACCTAGCAGTAGGAATTCTGGAGCAAAAACAAAACAAATAACCCCAAATTATACAGACTGGAGTTTTCACCTCTACTCTTTCAAAACTCACGGGCTAATACCTCCAGGCATTCCCACTCTACTCTTTAGTAAATTTAGGATAAGAAAACAACTTGATGTCACAGCACAACTAAGTTAGGGCCCCTTTGTTAGCTAAAGTGCAACAGGAAGTTACTCAGCAGAAGGGAGGAGGGGAAGAGCCAAAAGCAGGGAAGGAGTGAGTTTTGTTTCGCAGAACAAACAATTCCAGCCAAGGAGGTGCCCAACTAGATGTTTTCAGCTGAGAGCCCCTTCCTAGATGTGTCCTTAATGACATCCCCTAACGTGAGCCAGTCAGAGCCAGACTGGAGCTGAGGACCTGCACAGAAGCCCCGCTCGCTGACCTGAGGTTACCTTTAGCTCTTTGTACTAATCTCTCCACTTATGGGTGGAGTTTTCCGCCAGTTTTTGAACATATGATGTATGCTCTAGCAAGTTGACATGGTAGGCATGCACAATTGAACCAAAATCGCCTATAGAAGCTCCCTGCTCCGCCCTCTAATGCACTGAATAAAAGCTTCCTGTACTAACCCCACAGAAAGATTGTGCTTTGAGAGCTATCTCCCTGTCTCCTTACTTGCCACAAGTAATAAAATGTCCTTTGCTTTCAATATTTCCATGGGCTGTGTTCAATTTGGTGTACCCCAAGTGGTAACCTCCCTGCCCCCCGAGTGTGGTTACACTTTCTTCCCATTCTATTCCTTTCCTATTACCTAAAATCAAGGGGCATCTTATAATAAAGAAATGTTCCAGGTCTACCTTCAAAAAATGCCCAGGTCTCTTTCTTTTTCTCAAAGGATGAATCTTCAGAAGGTTTGAGGGAAATCACTGTAAGACAAAAAAGAAGTGGCATAGCATGAAGTACATTAGCATATGGCCCCGGCCCACATTGTAACCCAAAATAGGCCATATGGTATGTATGGCACTTACATTTATGAAGTAATTCTTCCATTTGCAAAACCACATTTAATTATCACAACTCACACATTAAGGAGAGGTGCAATGACTCAATAACAGTGGAGCCACCAGTGGGGGGAAATTAGGTTATCATTGTTTAAAAGCCAATAAATGGCAAAGTTGGGACTTGGTATGGTAGAAGTCCACTTGCCCCACATACTAGCAAAATAAAGAATTTCCCAGTGGGAATTCCAAGAACCAAAACGATTTTAGTAGACATCTTTCTCTTTTTTTTTTTTAATGTTTATTTATGAGAGAGAGACAGCAGGAGTGGGGAAGAGGCAGAGAGAGAGGGAGACACATAATCCTAAGCAGGTTCCAGGCTCTGAGCCAGCAGCACAGAGCCCAACACGGGGCTCGAACCCACAAACCATGAGATCATGACCTGAGCTGAAGCTGGGTGCTTAATTGACTGAGCCACCCAGGTGCGCCTAGCGGACATCTTTCTAAAGTATAGTACACTTGCTGGGATGAGCACTGGGTGTTGTATGTAAGCCAGTTTGACAAGAAATTATATTAAAAGATTATTTTTAAAAATAAAAAATAAAAATAAATCATAGTGCACTTGCCTGGGTGTACCACTAGATAGAGGAGCCTGAAGTCATCTGATGACTCAGGGTCTGTGCTCTGAGCTCCATTCCATGAGAGACAGTCACACACACACTTTGTCTGCCCCGTTCAGGGATTATGTTTCCCCTGTAGAGTTGTGGAATGGTGTTCAGTGACTGACCGATGTCTCATTTACTGACTGCCTACCATGTGCCAAGCATCTTGTTGCTCTTGTAGCTGCATGTTATCATATTTAACTTAATTCCCTCTAGCGACCCTGGAAGATAAATACCATTTCTAAATTACTTTGTACACTTTTAGTCAGTGGGTGATCACTGAACTTGCTGCGCCTGCTTTCAACAGTCAGGGAAACAGAACTGAGCTACACAGTATAAAACCTTAAGCATCACACTAAAGAGGCTGGAACTATGGGAAGGTTCCATGCATAATAGTAATACAATTACAGGTAAAAATATAAAAGTTAACCTGACCAAAAAAAAAAAAAAAAAGTCAAGGAATGAAATTACTGTCTGATAGAACTTTCTGGGACATTGGAAATGTTTTACGTCCATTCTGTACATGTAGTAGCCACTGGCCACCTGTGGTTACTGAGAATGTGACACATGGCTAGTCTGTGTGGACCTGAAGAATTGAATTTTTAATTTTATTTAAATTTAAATTTTAAAAATGTTTTTAAGTTTATTTATTTTGAAAGAAAGTGCGCCAAGCTGGGGAGGGGCAGAGAGAGAGGGAAAAAGAGAATCCCAAGCAGGTTCCAAACAGCACTGTCAGCGCAGAGCCTGACATGGAGCTCCAGCCCACGAACTGTGAGATCATGACCTGAGCTGAGATCAAGACTGGATGCTTAAGCGACTGAGCCACTCAGGAATTAAATTTCAATTTAAATAAGCCTCATGTGGTCAGTGGCTGGAACATTGAAAAATATTAGAGAAGAGCATCTAGGACTTGAACAGAAAGAGGAGTTTGGAATGGAGACTGAATCCGTATGAAAGATAAGGTATATGGCAGAGATCATCTGAAACTTTACCTCTATTTATTACCCCTCCCAATAACTTTTGCATTATGTTGTCATATATTTCAATCTGAATTTTCTAACTTTTCACTTCTCTAGGTCTTGTACTGGGCATTTCCTATAGATCATTTTGAAAATCACCAATCCCCTTCATCTGTGTATAACCTGCTGTTAAACCCATATGTTAATTTTTTTTGAGGGAGAGAGAAAGCGCGCGTGCACGTGAGCGAGTGCAAACGGGAAAGGGGCAGAGGAAGAGGAAGAAAGAGAATCTTAAGCAGGCTCCATGCCCAGCACCGAGCACTAGCTCATGATCATGAGATCATGATCTGAGCCAAAGTCAAGAGTCAGACCCTTAACCAACTGAACCACTCAGGCACCCTTATTAATTACTTTTTATATTTAATTAATTTAAATGGTTTTTTTTTTATTATTTCTAGGAGAGATAGAGAGAGACAGCGTGAGCAGGGGAGGGTCAGAGAGAGAGGGAGTCACAGACTGAAACAGGCTCCAGGCTCTGAGCTGGCAGTCAGCACAGAGCCCGACGCGGGGCTCGAACCCACGAACCGTGAGATCATGACCTAAGCAAAAGTCGGACGCTTAACTGACTAAGCCACCCAGGCGCCCCTATATTTAATTAATTTAATTCATTTTTATACATCCCAGCTCTCAGATGAATTTCTCCAGCTTGCCACCTAATTTCTGAACCATATTAATCATATTATGTCAAGGCACATACCTGATACCTTTATATCTGCATCACCCATAGACTTGTTTCTGTTATCTATTTTTGCTTTTGATCCTGTCCCTTACTATGTCTGATAATTTTTTCACTGAATGTCAGATATTGTATATGGAAAAGCATGGAGATGTAAGGTAAAATATTATTTTCTGGGGTGCCTGGCTGGCTCTGTTAGTAGAGTGTGTGACTCTTGATCTCAGGATTATAGGTTTGAGCCCCGCATTGGGTATAGAGATTACTTAAAAAATAAAATCTTAAAAACTATTTCTTTTTAAATTTTGCTGGTAACAAGTTAGAATAACAGAATGAACATCTAATCCAATCAGGACTTTAACTGCCTACAGTCTGGGGCAGTTTTTTCTGTTTTCAGGTTTTATATGGTCTGGACTATCTCTGGTTTGCCCTAACTTGAGGGATCCTCAGTGAGAAGCCTACAGAGTACTTACCATGGCCCTTTCACTTGTTAAACTGGAAAAACTGTTTGCTTCCTAAGCATCCTGATGGATACTTTCTGCATAGCTTCTCTGAACTAGTGCTTAAGTATGTTTAAGTTAAGTATGTTAAGTTAACATACCATTAAGTATGTTAAGTTAAGTGTTTCCAACATTTGGGATCACTAACTACTCTTCTCTATGCTCTATTTATCTAGGCAGGCCTTCAGAGAACATTAGGATAGCTGAAACATGCATGTGCGTATATAATTATGTAATACAAATGTATTTATTAAATTAAACATGTAATTAGGATGGCTGAAATGCAAATTATTTTTCAGCTTTCGAATTTTTCTCGGAAGGCAGGCTTTGGTCTGCTATAAGCCAAGTCTGCCACAACTGAAGAACTCTCCCATTAGAACCTAAATTCCTTAAAACCAGAAACTGTATCTCCTACCTCTCTATCCCCATCATTTGGTAGACTGCCTGGCAGCAGATAAGTGCCTAGTAAATAAATGGAAAATCCATTTCTTTCTGACTGCCCCTCAAGCAATGAACTCTTAGCGTACATCTGGTCTTGCACACGATACTGGGTAAGTCCCATAATTTGTTCATCGTCATTCCTGCTTTATTTCCCCACCCACGGCTGACTGCCAGAGCGATCAGTCAGATTCTTTCCCTAAGAAGTTAAGCTAAGAAATATAGTATATATGGTTGTTGAGGGTGCTGGGGCTGAAAGAGCCTGTGGTCAGCCATGTTGGATAAACAGGCACATGGAATGGAGCAGAGGGCAGAACCCACAAGAGGAAAGTGGAGGTGAAGAGGGTCACAGGGCTGAGGACATGATCTTGCTGGAACACTAGGTCTCAAGAGGGCTGATAGACTATGGTTGCTATTCTCGCATTCTATGAGCTCCATCGCCTTAAGCTATCCTTACTTCTCTTCTGAATTAGCTTAAATGGGCTTTCAAAGCTTCAACTAATTGAGCCCAGGCTGGGATCAGCATATAAAGGCAACACTGAAAGGAAAAACAGATGATCTCCAAGGAGCTGAGTTTTCAGGAGATCGAGGGTGCCCAGCATCATCCAGGGCCTTACCACTCCAAATGTGATCAATGGACCAGCAGTACAGTGTCACCTGGGGGCTTGTCAGAAGTGCAGAATCACAAGGTACCCAGTCCAGACCTACTGGATCAGAATCTGCTTTTAAACCAGATACCCTGGGTCAATCATATGCACTTTAAAGTTTGAGATGCACTGGGGCACCTGGGTGCCTCAGTCGGTTAAGCATCCGATGTCAGCTCAGGTCATGATCTCACAGTTTGTGGGCTCAAGCCCCACGTCAGTCTCTGTGCTGACAGCTAGCTCAGAACCTGGAGCCTGCTTCACGTTCTGTAGCTCCCTCTCTCTCTGACCCTCCCCTGCTCACACCGCCTCTCTCTCAGAAATAAATAAAAACATTAAAAAACATCAAAAATAAATAAATAAAGTTTGAGATGCACTGATACACACCAGGTTGAAAACAATGAGTTGCCATTTGCTGGTTGTGTAAATTTGGGCAAGCTGCTTGATTTCCCAGTGCCTTAGTTTCACAAAGAGGGATGGTAAGTGCCCACTCGTAAGGGAGGTGTGAGAGTCAAATGGGTTAAAATATGTGAAGTGTGCCTGAGACCTAGGGATCCATATTTATCTACAATGATACTAGCTCCATAAGAAAGGGGATTTTTGTCTGTTTTATTATTTTATTCACTGTTCCAATTCCTGCACCTAAGTCAGCATGGTCCTTTGCCATCAGCCCTTTGTTTCAGTGTGTGAATCTTCAATCGTCCAAATGGTCCACAAGAAAGGGAACTTGTCCTTGTTGTCAAATGTCTACAGCGTCCTTGTTGTCAAATGTCTACAGCTCAAAAGGGCTGCCACCCTGCTAGCAAAAGCAGGTGCCTTCGGATCACCATTGATTCACTTTTTTTTTTTTTTTTCTTTTCAGAAACTGTGCGCCCTTGATGTAGTCGATAAGAATTGCTTTGCCTTATTTGGGATAAAAGATAACAAGGTCTCCCTAACCAGCTTACAGAGACATGCGTTCAAAGAGCCAACAAACAGATTCTGAGCTGTCA